GAAAGTCTTCCGCCTTTTGTGTTGGACGTGAAGACGAAAGACTTTAGAAACGTCGTTCTCTACACTTGTGTCTCTACAACAAGCAGTTGCCGTCCATTTTACCAAGTTTCATCATGAATACTCTGCCTAAACAATCTATCAAAGAATACTTAAAAATAGTTAGCATAAATACACACACTCTCAATGAACAAACAATTTTCAATCATCATCATGTTTTTAATAATACACTTTACCTAGAAACTGTACAAGTCATGTTAATAAATAGTTACTTGTAATTACCCCAGTATGGTGTTTTCATAGCAATACAATAGAGTTTCTTGATATTGCATTCTAGAAATGTAAGAAATTATTAAAAGCCAGTTGTCTAAATATTCACGACAGATATTTTTTTGTTATTATACAAGAAGATATATCAACTGAATATCACGAGTTATGAGAACTGATTGGTTTGTTTTGAATTTCGCGCAAAGCTTCACGAGGACTATCTGCGCTAGCCGTTCCTAATTTAGCAGTGTAAGACTAGAGGGAAAGCAGTTAGTCATCACCACCCACCGCCAACTCTTGGACTACACTTTTACCAACGAATAGTGGGACTGACCGTCACATTATAACGCCCCCACGGCTGAAAAGGCGAGCATGCTTGGTGGGACGGGGATTCGAACCCGCGATCGCCAGATTGCGAGTCGAGCACCTTAACCACCTGGCCATGCCGGGCCCATGAGAACCAAATTAGGCCAGAGTTCGTTTAATTCAAATACTCATTTATTCGTGGACATTAATGACATATTATGAAAATGAAATATAAACTGCTCTCTAAGAATAATGTGATACCAGTAATAGTGTTTAGCAGAGTAACTGTTTAGGCTAACGAAATAATATTCTCATTAACATACGTATATTGCAGTCCCCAATGGAACAGCGGTAAGTCTTCGGATTTAAAACGTTAAAATCAGGGGTTCAATTACCCTCGGTAGACATAGCAGATAGCCCGATGTGGCTTTGCTATAAGAGAAACAAACACACTTATACTGCAGTAATAGAGAGACACGAACCGTAAGATATTCCTTAGAATAACAAGAGGGAATCCTCAATAGCTGCGGCACTTAAAATTCTTTTAGGCAGGATTAGAGTAAATTAATCTATGATACCTTTTTTTTTTCAGTCGTATTTGCTATATTTCTGTGCGCCAGCAATACCAAGCGTGGGGCGCGCATATACCCGATTCGATTATATTACTCATTAGGATCTCTAAGAGTCTATCCTTAAATTGAAATTCTTTTAGGTAGGATTAGAGTCAATTAACTTATGAGACTTTGGGCGTGGTCAAATATATCAATCAAAAAGGTTCGACCTCTTGAGTCCAAAACTGTAATTAGATCTCAAATCGGTTAAGAGATGACGGAGCTATGAGCTAAAAGTTTGTACTTGAGAAAAAAACTCAGAGCCATTCTATGAGCCGATATGCCGCGGCAAAACTAAGTAGTACAAGCAATGTTATGAACGCATGTAGAAATACATATTTTGGTTGCAATACAAGCAGTTTTTGTTTTAATATACGCCCACTCCTGGGAATTTTATCTTTAATAACAGAAAACTTGACCAAACAGTGACATACTACATTGAAGCCTCTGTACTGTCGTAGAAGAAAAAAAAAAAGCTGACGAATTTTAATTTCAGCAAACAGGTTTTTTGGCAGAAAGTAAAATAATCTAATGATAAAATCACGATAAATGCCACAAATTTATTCACCAAAAGAACACGCACATGGTGACTCAAATACGATAAAAAACAATCAAATTACAGGCGGTGTGTGTGGTTTGTTATAGCTCCAAGCTACACAATGGACTATCTGAGCGCTGTTCGCTGCACTACCGGGAAACGAACCCCGGATTTTAGCGTTTTAATTTTGTAAGCTTACTTCTGACTCATCGGGAGACCAAATTACAAGAAATATTAAATGTTATTTATTGGATATAATTTTTTAATCTCTCACTTTCTTTTTACATTAGAGGTTTTGTTACTTACTAAAAGTTCCAGCTGGTAAGGTTCCACAAAGTTTCTGTCCATCTACATTCAGGTAGTCGTACTCGCAATCGGTGCTGGACTCAACATCGAAGTCCAGAAACTGTAGTCGGAGAGAGCACACTTTGTTGTCGTGGCGACGAACAACGTAGCTGCAGTCTAGATTGTTGTCATAGTTTCGGGGATAGTTTACACTGCTCAGATAGAATTCTTTTCGCGCGTAAACATCGCTACAAAAACCGTTCTCAGGTAGAAACGGTGTTCTGGTTGTAAAAGTTTCACACTCTCGTTGTACCACATGGATTTTGTAGCCCTTCTCATTGCGATGATCATCGGAATGAAATGACAATACCTTCGCTGCTTCGAAGAACTCTATTGTCTCTAGAAGCACAAACATACTTCAATTAGAGATAGTTAAAAAAAAAAAAACTGAATAAAACAAATTAATTACATAGCTAAATTATTTTCATCAAACCGTTTTTTTTTCTTTTTGTTGTTGTTAATATTACTTTTAATATTTTCCCCTGGTGGAACTTCATTAAGTTTACGGACTTACAACGCTAAAATTCGGGGTTCGATTCCCCGGGGTGCTCTAAAACTTTAAAATACTCAAACTTACGTCTGGTGTTTGCTCTTAACTGACCACACAGTCGGTCTCCGTCCACTTCTAGATAGTCATCAGAGCAGCCAGGGCTTTCCTGAATGTTAAAGTCTTCGAATGTCAGTTCCAGCCTACAGATAAGGTCGCTATGCTGCACTATGGTGTAGCGACAATTTAAGTTGTCGTTGTAGTTGTTTGGGTAGTTCACGCTAGTTATTTCGAATTCCTGGGCTGTAAACTTTTTGTTGCAATATGTCGGACTCACAAATGGAGGAGATGTTACAGAGGGAATGCATTCTTTTTGGGTGACCCGGATACGGAAGCCACGATTGGTGACAAAAGCGTCACTATAAAAATGAATAATGGTGCGTTGACCTCGAAACTCAAAAGATCCTGACAAAAAAAAGAAAATAAAAAATCTTTAGGAATTCCAAAATATTGAGATCTTCCGAATACAAATCCATATTTTTTTTCTTCTGCAGATAATTACAGTTTGGTTTTGGC